ATGATGTAAAAAATACTACATATTTTTAAAATAGTTATTTTCTGTGTAAGAAAAAATACCTTCATTCATTTTTTTTTACTAGGAGCAAGAATTTCCCCAAGATCAGTGTGTTTATTCCTATTTAAGAGATTGTATTGTATTTGGATGTGATTGACAAATAATAATAATAATTAGATTTATTGCATATTAATATGCATAAATTTTTTATTTATAGTGAAAGGCACCTAATCCCGTAACTTACTACGCCTCGACGACAGATTTGAGGAAAAATTTCCCGATCAAAAATGCAATAAATTTTCGATCACGTGATTTTCAGTAAGCTGTCAGTTCACGTGATAGTCTACGATCAATCCATAAATGGGAGAAATCGGCAATAATAATATTAACAGTCAAACGATATGTCACAGGAGTAATTACATATTATTATTATTTTTAGTAATAAACAAATAATCAATTAATTAAATGATAATGCTTTTCTTGATCAAAAAAAAAAGCAGGACAAATGATAATTCATAAATAGTAAACTGTTTTTTAGCATTTTTTAGTAATAGACAATTAATTCAATTGTCAATTAACAAATTAAACACACAACATTTTTCTTAAAAAGTAAACAAATCAATGGTACAATCCAAAAAAAAACAGGACAAATGGTAATAATAGTAAAATTAAAAGTAAAATAAACAAATTAACGGTATAATCTTCATTAAATATTAAATGAAAAAAGAAAGATGCTTCACCACCACTAAAAAGATATGATAAATAAATAAATAACAACAAACAATAATGAATTCAATTATTGAATTAAATAGCTCTTCTTAAATGTAAAATAAACAAAATTTTTTATTCTTACCAAATAGTTCTCTTCTGTTGGAAAAAAGATAAATGTTTTATCACGTGGAAAAAAAGGCATTGAAAAAGAATCTCGCAGACCAAAAAAAAAATTTTTTTTAAATTTAACCACCCAGTGAAAGCAAAAAATTCTTTCCCAGACCTTTAATTCTTAGATTTAATTTAAACAAAGGAATTTAAATAATTGGACCACTTTAGAAATAAATTGAAAATAATTCTACACAGAAGGCTCAAATAATACATTTAATTAGGACTTCAAAGAAATCAGAAAACTAGATGATAGAACCTTTAACATGTATAAATAACATTGTAATTTTCTCAACTTCATGTATCATCATTAATCACCATTCATAATCATCATCTAATAAATAACACTTCCTCGTCCTTGTCCTTGTTGTCTTCAAATATTATATTTTCATAATGATAATAAATTTATCCCTAACAATGAATTCATAATAATCCCGTGCATAATTATTTTCTCTTATTTTATATTTGTCTCTATTATTTTTTATTTCTTTTCTTTTTTTTAATGAGGTAATATTTAATAAATTTTATTTAGTGAAGTTTGGAGACATACCTGACTTGGTAGCAAAAAGGAAAATGGCATCCACAAAGAAACGTGATCAGGATATATAGTGTAAAATCTAAAGAAGATATTGTTTAGTATTTCTTAGTATAAAGAATTGTTTAATGATAGTGAAAAATAGCTTTGAGAGTAAAGCATAAATATACATTTGTGGAAATTGTTGTCATGATTTAAATATAAATAAATTGTATTAACATTGTTGGATAAAATATTGAGATTCACTATGAGATGTGGATTCGATCTCACAATACTTATTAAAACAATGAAGCTTGTATTAAAAATCAAATGATTGACATTACATTAAGAAAAAATTGAATCAATCATGTTGCAAATTGTTAACAATTGAATGATTAATGCCACCATTAAGAAAGGCGTCAAATTATTAAATTAATGATTTCTAGCATGGTCATAAATATAAGGACACTTGCAGATCATCGGAAATAATTGAATAAAGAAACGTGAAAAAAAATTTTTTTTTTGTTATCATAACCATACTTGTTTATTAAGTAAGAATTGATCTTCATAGCATAATATACTAAAGTTTTACCACATATAAACTATATTTAAAACATAGGACACGTACGAATCCTAATTGCTATCTATTTGTCATGCTTTTGCAACTGAAAAACTTATCTGTTTTTGGTTCAAAACGTCAGGGTTGAGCGAAACAGATACTTGGCTGAAAGGAAAATTGTGTTTCGCCTTAGATATTTTTTGCGCGATGTCTACCCATTAGGTTTTCATCTTGCTCTGACGTTTCGAATCATTCAAAATGACCAAAAACTGATGGTTTTGTCTTGGAACCTTTATCTCAGATCGTCAAAGGCTTGTTAACTGGTCACGGACCGGGATTCAAAAAGACTTTTTTATATTGTCAATTTTTAATAATTCTTCAATTTTTGATTATTTGAAGGATAGTGGATGATTTTTTCAGATATTTTTTTTTTTTTGATCTTGACCGTTTGAGGGGTGGTGGATGGCCGAATAAGAAAAAATTTCCTTTCGGAGAAAATAAATAAAATCCATCAAAAATTTTGTTTTTTTCCAATTGATCCATCCGATTGACCTTGAATGAATGAATAAATAAATAAATAAAACAAGCAAATTTGCCGCTTGAATATTTTTTACTCGCTTGCTTTTTGTCTAGCATTAAAATAATTTCTTTGATTTATTCAAAAGGTAAATAAGTTTGCCTCTTGAACATACTTTGCTTGCTTGCCTTTTGTCTAGTATACCAAAAAAACCAACGATGTCATCCATCTTATCATCAATCATATTCACAAAGTCAATCAGCAGAACACGCATAGTGACTGTGTCATGTGGAAGATCAAGAATACGTGGAGGTAAATTACAAAGTGTTCAGAGAAAAACGATGCCGACAACGCCATTATTTTTCTAATTTAAATTTAATTAATTGATTATCAGGGCCTGAAATATTATTATTATAGTTTTGTTGATCGTTCGTTTAAAAAAATCTTTCAATGTATCGATAGAAAGAATAAAAATTAATTTTGAATGGCTTACTTGGGTGCAGAATTCTGATTGGCTAATACTAATTTGTATTTCACAAAACTCTGTTGCGTTGAGTCAAGCTTCTTGTAATAAATTTGTGAAGAATTACCTCAAAAACGAATTAAGCACTTTCCTACGAACAAATAGTTTAATCATAGTGAAAATATAAGTACATGACATATGTAATGGAACCATTGGTGTGATCGTCAAAAGTTGTTGATGACAATAACGTTGAATTTACCATTCCTACAAATGACAACATAATAAAGATTAATGTTCAAAAAACCGTGTCATATCTCGACATCAATGGTACCCGAGCTTCAAGAGGTCAGTTCCGATCCAGAATGCATTCGCGCTTACCATTCACAAGCCACAGAGCCTCACGTTACTACAAAGGTATGTTTGCCACAAGACAGATTTATGTGACGATGAACAGGATCCTCCTGGGATTCGGTAAATATATATACTGTCCTTCAATTTTGATTGTTTAAAGGTAGACAAAAATGTTCTTGTTGCAGAATTACAAATTTTTGTGAAAACGTTGATCGCGCCAAAAACAGGCACGGCTAGACGTAAAAAGAGACAAATCGGCAAAAAACTTGCACAAAAGTCACACGACTTGCGGGTTTTGGAAGGAAATCGTGACACGGCAAATGTTCAATCTTTTTTTTGTATTAAATAAATAAGGAAATCCGTTACACGACATAATTAATAATAATGAATTCGCTCGCAATTTTGCAAATATTTAGCAAATATTAAGTCATGTATGTGTGTATTTTGTTTATATAAAAAAAAAATTTTAAAAAAAAAATTTTTAAAATAAAAATAATGCCTTACTCACAATTACACACTTTACAAAAAAATGACAACAATAACATTAATACTAATAAAAGGTATTATTGTTATAGACATAAATTAGATCTAAAGAGAAATTCTATGAATTCTAATGAATCTACCATGCTTGAAAATTTACAACAGGTAATTAATTAATTTATCCATCTTAAGTACCACTTTATACTATTTTATATATACATAAAATCAATTATTATCGTATTTTTAATCATATAATAAGATGCCAACAGAAGAAAAACAAACAATTGAACAAATATCATCATTATTTTCTAAACTTTCTTTAAAAAGTCGAAATATTGCTTTAGAAGGTTTATTACACCAATGCTGCTCAACACAATTATCATTTCTTTCAAATAGATTAGAGGATTTGAATCGAATAGATTTTATTGCACACCTTCCAGAGGAACTCTCACTTCATATTCTTTCTTATTTGGATGCAACCTCGCTGTGTCATGCAGCTCAAGTTTCCAAACCATGGAAATTATTAGCTGATGATGATCAGGTGTGGCATAAATTATGTGAACAACACATTGATAAAAAATGTTATAAATGTGGTTGGGGACTTCCTTTATTGGAAAAAAGAAAACATATGAATAGAAGAAGAATCCTTCAAAATCCATCACCGTCACCATCACCGTCACCATCATCACCATCATCGCCATCATCACCACCATCATCATCTACTCGTCATTTAAATATTTTAGATGATAACAATAATAATAATAACTTAGTAATGACATCATGCTCTTCTGTTCCACTTACATCAACATCAACATCAACATCAACATCAGATAGTATAAAAAGAGACACAAAACGTTTGTGCACAGCATCACTTAGGTCTGCGCTGTTATATTCAGATGATGATAATAATAATAATAATAATAACAATAATAATTGTCAAGTAATAACTACTAAACCCTGGAAAGAAATCTATTCAGAGCGTCTTGCCGTTGAAAGAAACTGGCGAAAGGGTATGTATAATGCCCGTGTGTTGAAAGGACATCGAGACGGGGTAACCTGCCTACAGTTCAACGATGAGAAGAATATTCTAATTAGTGGGTCTTATGACGCAACTGTTAGAATATGGGATATTGAAAAAGGAGAAACTGTGCGTATACTTACAGGACATCTGAATTGTGTCAAAACACTACAATTCGATGATGTCAAGCTTATAACAGGCTCTTTGGACCATACGATAAAATTATGGAATTATAAGACGGGGCAGTGTATCAGGACGTTTTGTGGACACGCGGATGGAGTTAATTCTATACATTTCAATGAACGGATACTTGCTAGTGGATCAGCCGATTGGACGGTTAGGGTCTGGGATTTCACATCATGCGAACAGTATGCCCTGAGAGGCCACACGGATCGTGTAAACTGTGTTATAATTTACAAACAGTCACAAGTCTTATCTTCGTCAGATGACTGTACGATAAGAGTATGGGATTTACCAACAAAATCTTGTGTGCGAGTATTTACGGGGCATAGATTACAAGTACCGTCGATAGAATTTGCCTCCCTATCGATGTTTTCAAAAATGTTTTCTTCAGTTCATCAAGAAAGCAATAATAATGATGGTAGTAATAATAATGATGACGACGGTGATAGCATTGATGTACAAAGATGCGACGGAGGAGTTCATGAAAACGAAGACTTACCTATTATTGTGTCGGGTTCGCTCGACAATACAATAAAAATCTGGTGTTTTCAAACGGGAAAATGTTGTAAAACGTTATTTGGTCATCTTGAAGGTGTTTGGACTCTAGCATTAGATAGATTGAGGTTAGTGAGTGGTTCACAAGATAATTTGGTGAAGATTTGGGATAAGGATACTGGATATGATTTACACACCCTGGAAGGACATAGCCAACCAGTGACATGTGTCGCATTGAGCGACACGAAAATTATTAGTGGCAGTGATGACAAAGAAATTAGAATTTGGGATTTTAAAGTTTAGTTAGGAACCAGAAGATTAATGAGATTTTAATGAAATGTCACAAATTAATTAATAAATTAAATGAATATATTATCATAATTAAGTTATCATGACTATATTTTTATTGTATTTTTTTAATTATTTAATTTATTTAATTAAAATTACGCCTATATATTATACTTTATTTTTGGAATGATTTGTTTAAATACTATTACTTGAGAAGTTACATATATATATATATATAATTCAGATTTTCAGCAGGTCAAATTGATCATTTCAAAAAAACGATGATATTGCAATATCAAGTTGATCAACTTGATTGTTATAACAATAACATAAAATTAAAGTATTTTTTTATTATCGCGAGGCATCACATCAGAAAAAAGTTGACAGATAATAATAGTATTAGTATTTAGATTAATTGGGCGATAATTTCTTGATCTTATTACCATAATCATTGCTATTTAGTATTCATTAAATTTTATTATTATTTATTATATTATTAGAAAAATTCCAGGGATAAATTTATTTCTTTATTAATTAGTTTTATTAATTAGTTTTTTCCCAAATGAATTAGGCGATGCCAATCCACTAAAGAAAAGCATTTATGTGGGCATTTTTAATCATTGTCCATGTATGTAATTTTTATAGTTTAAGAAAAAGAAAATAAATATGTGTAGGATTATCTTGTATAAAAATATAATTAATTATATTGCATCATCCATAAGGAAAATGTTGACATGTTTTTACTGTAATCCTTGTGTTATTATTCATGCAAAACCCTAACTACTTTTGGTTAATTAATTAATTTAAATCTTTGCTTCTTTTCCTCTTTGTACTTCTTTAATTATCGACCGTGATGATGGTGATGGCCTTCGATTTTTTAAAAAAATACCCAATAGAAATTACGGTAATGATCTAGATCATTATGAAATTTCTCCGATTGAATTGGTGGAGAGATGTGATCGATAGCAACATGTAGATTATTTCGCTATGATAATTTTTTTTTTGGATAAATACAAAATTGTTCTTTCTAGCAATAGCATATAAAGAGATATATCATCGTCATCATCAAATAAGGCGAAATGGGTATAATGGACATACTCCTTTTCAAAGACACATGGTGACAAGGTCTTGCAATTTGATAATGAAAAAATAGTTTCAAGTTCAGGTAACTGATATTCACGAGTTATTCGGAGAAAAAAAAATTGTTGCTGCCTCCACCGCAAAAGCTTCTACAAAATTAATTCCAAAAAGAAAACCATCAAAGTAATTCAATGATGGATAGAAAATAGGAAATCGTGGATGATATAAAGAAGAAATGATATATAAAAGGCGAAGAAGATCTTATTAGTAGTGGATAATAGTGTAGCATCAATGGTTTTGGGCCTGAATATTTTCCTCCCATGTAATTACTCTGGTGGTTTTTATCTTATTTAATTATATACATATTAAAATAAATAAGGCACGACTTATCTTTTGTTGTTTAATACATACATGTCTTTTAAAATGTTTATGTTGATTATATATATATACTGATGTTGTTGGCCATATTAATATTTAACGCCCGCTAATTCCTCCAACCGAATTTTATTATTAATAATGTTATGAGAAGCATGAGGTCAAAAAAACAAAGTGAATGCTATGATATCACGCTTTTTTTACGTGCTTACTTACGTCTCTCTAATTTTTTTTAAAAAAAAAGTCTTCGTTAACACAGGATAAATGATGGAAAGAAACCAAAATTCGTCTACACAGTTGTAGTTGGGCATTTGTTTTTGTTTGCTTACCCCCTACAATTTTGTAGAATATATATTATTGTTTTCTGGATGCTCTCTAATTAAATTAATATTAACAACTGGAAAAAAAAATTTAATTTGTATAAATTAATTAAATTTATATATTTGGTACGTAGCCAGATTAAAGAGTTGACTTCCTGTACTTGCTTAGAGAAACGAATGACAATAGTGATAATTATCAGACGACAAGAATCAATTATTGACGCTATTGCTCGTCAAAAACAAAACATCCTTTTCACTCGAGCAGGAGGTAAATTATTCCTATCATATATTTTTATAATTATTATCATTCTCATTGTTGTTATGATGATATTTATTATTGTATTAGGGACTGGCAAAAAATTTTTATTAACAAGAGTCTTAAAAACATTTATGGTGACGAAAAAGTAGCAGTGACGTCTACAGCACTTAACATCGGATCACGTTACATTCTTTTCCCGATATTTTTGATTGCACATTTCCCACTCTGATTGGTTTGAAATTTAACTACTTTTCTTTAATCTTAAGGATTTCTTTGTCATGTCGATTCATATCAATTTAGCTGAAGAAAATTCAAAGAAAAATTACGATTTTTATGAAAAAATATTCGTATCAATAATAAATGATAGTAAAGGGAAAGATAATGTTTTTTTAAAGTAGAAATTTTCGATATTGATGTGTGAGTGGTGACTGGTCGGGAGGAATAATTTTGTTAAATGGGGAAAATCCATCAAAGCGCTGATAAAATTTGGTTGTTACGGAGCTCATGAATTAGTATTAAATAATTCAAGTAATCCGAGAAAACCTAGGAATTTATCTTGTTTAATATAAACTGAACATTAAACAATTTATTTTAAATTAATTAACTTTATTTTTATTTACAAAATAATCATCCAAATTTAGCATTAAAAGATTGAATTAATATTTTTAATTATTTATGTAAGGCATTATCTTATATACATGGAGAAGGACACAGTGGTAATATATTGATGGATGAAGGTGATAGCCATATCGCGGATTTAGGATTATGTAAAAATTATCAAATAAAATCTATGGAATTGTGCCATATATTGCATCTGAGCTACTTGGAGGCAGAATTAATACAAAAGAACGCAAAAGAATCGGATGTTCATGATGTTGGAATGTTTAATATGGGAAATATTTGCAGGACATCCACCATTTGATGACAAAGCACATGATTTTTATTTGCAATTAAGAATATATGCAGGTTTACGACCACCGATATACCAGGAATGCCTGATGATTGTGCACAAATGATGCAAAGGTGTTGGGATGTGGATCCATCTAAAAGACCAACTATTAGAGAGCTTTGGGTTTTTGCTATAAATAAATTTAAAATTGAGAGTAATAATAGTATTGATGGTGGTGGTAACAATAGTAATAATACTACTGGTAGTAGTAGCAGTGATTCACAACAAGTACACAAATCACATCCATTAGCATATCATACAAGTAGAAAATATTAAATGACGAATTTGCTAAATTGAACTTAAGTAATGATAGCTTATTAAATTATGAAATTTAAATAGTTGGTTAATTAATTAATTTAAATATGATTTAGTTGATAGGTTAGAGTCGGAGAATTGTTGATGGGTAGATAATTATTTTTTATTATCTTTTAAATTTATTTTTGATTTTATTCAAAATAAATTTTCCAATTCATGTTAAATGTAAAACGAACAATATTACATTTTGTTTGTCATAAATTCTTCTTGAAGTTGATTGTATTGTTGTGTCCCAGGTGATTGATTACTAATTCATCATTTAAAGTCCGAGACGGATAATATTAAGTTTTAATTGAAGTATTTTAAATGAAACAATCTAAAAAACGCGTCAAAGTGTAAAAGATTTTGTTATGAAATTTGCATTCGGATTTACTTTTTTTTTTTTATTCATTCATTTATAAGGAAATTCCCAAGGCTCCAAATGAAATTGAGAAACAATTGGGTAAATTTTGATTTTCAAAAGAAATTTTTTTAAATTTTAAAAAAAATATTAAAAAGTTAAAATGTCTTTCAGTAATCTGTACAAGTTATTAACACGGGACAGAAGAGAATTAGTACATAAAATTCAGAATGAAATGAATAATATTGCTCATTTTGCTTTTCCAACTAATTCTGACAATGAAAATAGAATAAGTTATTTTTTACAATTAGTCAATGAAAACAAAGAACTATTAGAAAATGAAAAAGAATATTGTAGAGAAAGGTTTATTTATTATTTCGAATTAAAAAAAGCAATTCATAAATATGGTAAACAAAGAGAATGTAATAATTGTAAAACAACAAGATACTCTGATAAATATTGTGAAAAGTGTATTAGTCTACACTTACAGAGCCTTTTCAG